ACTGTGCAAAATCGTCCTCAGCATCCCAACCCCTATTTTCATTTAGAACATCAAAAAGTCTACTGTCTATGTCAGAGTACGCACAAAACGTTTCGGAGTGGGCAGTTTCAATAAGTCCTTTGTCAAAGAGGGCATAAACTGGCTTAGGGGCGAAGAATGGGCGGTTAAGCAGTTGCCTCTGTAGACGAATTGAGGCTGGTTCGATTGCGCGCGCGATTCAAAACTATAAGCAAACGGACAAACGTTTGCACACAGGTTGTACTATATATCATATTTCACAGCACAGGCGCTAGCTAAATACCTAGACACGTCTTTCGCCGATATTCTGCCGCTGCATGGCCCAGCTGTGAGAGATTCAGCTCGTCAGTGGGTCCCTCTGCTTTTTTGTGATCTTTGTGGTAGATGCTCCAGATTTGAAATGAAAGATTTCTCAGTTCCCAAGAAATTAACTGCTAACTTTGAGTAAATCAGTCTATTTGAAGCGTATAGCTTTGGACTGAAATTTATTGGCATACAAAATGGACTGCTGAACTAAGCCAGAGTTCTCTCAGGCCAAATCAAGTTGGTATAATGTCAATGTGGACGAGTACGAGCAGAAGCCTTTTCACACTTTCCTAATTAGAGTAACGGGTACTCCGTGTACTTAATCCAAAAACATAACTTAAAGATTCTCTTACCCCCCTCCCCTAACCCTGAAGACCAAAACCTGCCGACCTCGTCATGCAGGTGGAGTGGGAAAGATGAGCGTTAATGACTTAATACGCCTTGAGACAATTATAAACATCGTCTTTTGTCTACAGACAGCTACGCCGCGACCTAATGCCCGAGCTATGTGTGCTGCGGGTCCATATTGTTGTCTCGCATTCGGCGATGCCTGTGAGTTGGTCAACAACACTAACTTGAGAGGACTTCCTCTCAAACAAAGTGGGATTGGGACAAGACTGGACGCATGGGGTTTTTAGTCCCCAACGCTGTGATTCAGGCGTGGAATGCTCTGCCTGTGGACGTTATTATCTCCCCATCCGCAGATATTTTAGGAGTTGCGCGTTACTCACTGTGTTTCAGTTGCATTATTTTATAATTGTTTAATTAGACACTTTTTCAGATGACTGCGTGTGGCCCAGTGCATTATAAAGCTGACTTTTTAATTATGCGTTCCCATGCTACTTTCTCCATTACAGTAGCGATGCTTGACGTGTATATAATGATTTCACATCTAGTGTATCTCGACAAATTATTATTTTCCATACGGTTACGCGTTTAAAATAAGGATGTGAATCTGTGGAAAATCGGTTTATACTAGTGAATGTTCACGTTGGTGACACCAAGCCGCTGTCAGACAAAGTTGACGGAGGAGAAAGTAAGATTGGCAGATTGAATAACTTGGCGGTACCGGACAGACAGCGACAGTCAGTTGGTACGTGAGACGGGTTGGCACTGAGTTGCGATGGCTTTTGTGACAGGGGGACGGAAGGTGGTATCGATATAGTGAAAATCTACATTCGTGACCGAGTCTGGGCTAGCCCTTTTTAGGGGGCAGATTCAAGATTTCCTAAACGGCCGTAGACAAAAAGTCACTGCGAGTGGCTACTGCTCAGAATGGACACCTGTTACAAGTGGAATCCCATATGCGTCAGTTCTTGGGCCGATCCTATTCATTATCTATGTAAACGACCTAGCACAGGAAGTGAGATCGGACATAGCGCTATTTCCAGACGATCTTAAACTTTCGAGAGTGATAAAAGATGAAGATGACGTCAGTATATTACAAGAGGATGTAGAAAATTTGCACGCATGAAGCGAGAAATGGTGCATTAAATTCGACGTCAAAAGATGTGTAGTAATGCACGTAGTATAATCAAGGCGAAGAACAAATGCACCCTCACGACAGTATCTTCTGGACAATCCAACAACATAAAACCATAGATGTGCAAAAAGATCTCGGTGTATTCATTAAAAACGATCTAAGCGTCACCACTCAGTGTTCTAAAGTCGCTGCGCGGGCAATGTCCGTTATGAGCGCGATAAGCAGAACGTTTATACACTTGAATAAAGATGTTTTCGGCAAAGTATACGGGACATTTATGCGGCCGTAGCTGGAATATGAGGTACAGGCTTGGCGGCCGTGGCTTCGGAAGGATATAGATATCCCTGACGGTGTACAACGGCGTGCTACAAAGGCTGTTCATGGCCTCAAGCATTTCACGTACGAGCAGCGCCTGACGGCCTTGAACCTCTACCCCTTCCACTACAGGCGGGACAGAGGTGACCTCATAGCAACGTTCCAGTTGCAAAGAGGACTCAATCTGGATGTCGACTGGGAAACGTTTTTTGGAATGGCTCCCAATGCTAATCTCATACGACATGATTACAAGCTTAAAGGGGAACTGTGCCACACAAATCAACGTTACTCCTTTTTCTAACAGGGGGTCATTAGCAATGGAACTCTTTGCCGAAATATGTTGTTTATTCCCCTACCGTAAGTGTGTTCAAGAGACAACTGGATACTCACCTGCCGAGAGGCCACCCGAACTGCCGAAATGTGAGCTAGCGAATAACTTAAATGACCATAAGTATATTACTAGCGTGATTTCGACAGATCCCCTTTGAATAATTCATAGTAAACCAACTGTGAAAAACTCGGCGCCTCCGGGAGAAGGTCATAGTACAACTAACGCTCTAACTACGAGGCCCCGCCGGAAAACGCGGGTTTAATCAGATTTGGGCCAAATTACCCTTTTTGTGCGATAAACTTGACCCAAATGGAAATTTGCACAGTCCGAATGCGGTGAACAAAATTTTTCTCAGTTATTTCGCAAATGCCATACCCCTTTCGCATTTATGTTCCATTACTAGGTTTATGAATTCTCCTTACTAAAACTGCATGCAGCATTTTTGTAATTCAACTATTTTCCCTTACAGCTGTACCGTCTAAATTGAGTTTTCAGGGCTTCTGTCGTTTGCTCCAAAGATACTGACAAGCCAGTGAGCGTGCATGTAAAACCCTCGTAATGGCCGTCTAGATTGACATGGCGGTTGATGCTGGTCGTGTCAGAATGACAAGCTTCGGACCATTCCTGCGCCTGTCCGGTGTTAGACACCGCGATCACTTCAGCGGTGTTCAGACTCAAGACAGTTCGTCCGTCGATTTCGACGATGACCACCGTGTGCCCCACAGACTGCATTGTGGGAGCAGGGACGGTGACTTACGCAGGGGTTTATAGTGCCAGTAGACTTGCGTAGCATCTACCTACACTCTCTCCTCCTCCTCCCCGGCCTGAGCCCGGTGTCAAGACAGAGTCAAGAAGACCGGAGACGAGGGAGGCCGCAGGTGGATGGCTCGGACGGGTCTTCGCCTTGGCGCTCCACTCCGCACCCCTGGTCCACACACCAAGACCAGGATTTTGACCACAAAACAATGGGGTGGTGGCAGAGGTCCAGTTGTACGACGATTGCCGACAACAGGGTCCGCCAGCGCACCCCGCAAATGTTGGCATTTGTTATTGCGCACAGATAACGCCTGCCAGAGTCCGATGTGGCCCCCGTGTTGGTCCAGCGCATCTAACACGTGGCCCGTTTGGAGGGCACTCAAGGACGTGCGCAAACACATGCACAGTGGCAGAGAGACGTCACGTTAGTGGACCTTTTAAGGAAGTTTTTTCATCTCCTGCAGTCTCAGTCGTCTGTATGAGGTCGAAGCTATGTGCCTTTTTTACTGATTCCAGTTGTGGATATTGCCCACAAATGTTAGCCTAATCCGGTTTGTTAACTTTCAAGTATTCATTGGAGCACAACTCTTAACAAATAGTGTATTTGGTTTAAAGAGTTGGGGAAATTGATTGAACAGTGTACCAGAGATAACTGATTATGCCCAATGTGTTCTTATTCAGTCAGATGTAAATTCGGAACGTTTCTTTGACCAAAGTTCTAGAAGGAGGCGGATGTATTTTGTACATGGATAGGGGTTCCACTTTTCATAATTATACAGTCACAAATCCAAATCAAATGAGAATAATAAACTTTGTCAAGTTTTTTCCAAGTCGGTGGATGAATATCAGCACCACTGGTTGCACAAAATATGCATGCAGAAATTTAAATAATTTGTTTTACAGTTTATTCAAGTTAATACACCTTTGCAAAGGGTGCAGGACTCTTAGTCAGAATCCATTTTATTTCCAAATAGATTAGAATGTTTGTCTGTCGTTCGTTTTAACGGTATTTGCCTGCGGCAATTTTGGGCCTGGGTCCTGATTGGTTAGCAGTTTCACAAGAGCACTTGCCAACGTTCTATTGGGCGAATTTCGAATCGCCATCAGTTACATAAGTCGCCTGTCCACTCAGCCGGGTCGTTCGAAATGCCGGAAAGTCCAGGGCCACTTTTCCCTTGTTACAAACTCTATTACTGGACGGACACCCTGGATATCTGCGCAATCATTTTGTCCATCTTCAGCTTCATTGCCAACCTCAGTGTCGTCATTCTTCTCTTCCTTCTTCGCTCTAAGAAGGTCGAGACTCTGGCCCTCCTACGAGTCCTTTCTCTCAGTTGTCTATCTTTCGCCTTTGTTAATATCCTTGAGGACCTCGGCGCTCGCAGTCCCGACACCGGCAGCACCCTCGTTGACAGCCTAATCTGTGTCCTGTGGAGCAGTCGTTTTGCCTTCTGGTACACCAATGCTCACATCTACAACAGCCTCTTCTACTTCGCCTGCAGCAGGGCTTTGGAAATGCTCCGCATTCCCAATTATCCCATCACTACGGAGAAACAGCGTCTCGCTACCTTCATGCTCCTGATCTTCATTTCCAGTTTCCTCGGTTCGGCGCCTCAGCTACTGTTAGCGCATCCGCATGCGAAGGACTGTGCCTGTGCGCCAATAACGGAGAACCTCGAAATCCTGACGGTGGTTTATGCTCACGCTTACCTATGGGTGGCGATCTTCGGACTCACCTACCCTGCCATTCTCGTCTACATTTGCATCGCTTTGGTTCTGCGAGCGCGCAGATCAGAGAGGGCCACTCTGCTGGACGAACTTGATCAACTCTGTTTTCGGAACTTGCGACCAGCCTCCACCACCGACACCGCATCCACGCACCCAATTACTCCCTCATCTCACCGCGTCCCCTCCAGTGGTGATAAGAGTACTGCAGCAACTCCTGAGAAGTCTACCCATGTCTGGTCGGCGTCGTTTTGCATCCTACCGCTTACCGCAGCCTACGTAACAAGCGTAATCTTTGAGGCGACATGCCAGCTGTTGAGTACGGCTGGATTTTTCACCTACAAGCTGCGCAGTCCAACTAACCGGTTTAGTGGAATCTTGATGAATCTGTTCACAGCACTGGTGCCACTGATTCTCTTTTTCCACATCCCCGCCATGCGGTCGCTGATCTTTGCTGCAATAGAATTCCTGAAAACCAGACGCAGAAAGGTTATGCTTGCGAAAGCTGGTGGTCAATCCGGTTGAGGATTGAATTGCCCCCCCCCCTGGACTGTTCAAGACCATTTGACAGACTAAGTAATTATTCAATATCTTTTTTGTGTGAAATACTGACAAATTTGAAAATACTGAGAGGCTACAACTGGCCTGCGCTGGTACTTACATGTCTGGCATACTGCAAAAAGATTCCCACGGGTACAGTGCTTATGAAAGTTTGTTTGTTTGTTTATCATGGTTCACTGGAATAAATTATGAATAAGGGAAGACTTGCATTTTTATCCAGCTTCGACACTCTTGTCTGAACTGCAGATCTGCGTTGTACGATATTAAAACACATTATTCCTATTAGAGGAGTCCACTTCCAGGGAATTTGATATGAATTAAACACGATAACCCATAACCCACCACATTCCGCAGAAAAATGTGGACAGAAAAGTAGTGTACATAGAGCGGCATGTCGACGCGCTGAAGGTCATGGAATTGTAGGTTGTCAGCAACAAAGAGACCTTAGCTAGCCCAATGTGAAGGGGCGTGGGGTTAAAAAGCAAAGAACGTACGTGTAGAAGATCACATCGTGCAAGTGCTGACTGCTAAATACGTTTCTTAACTGACGTCCAACTTTAATGTGTGACTACGCGAAACTAGTTTCTTTCTAACAGTCACAGGCGGCGGAATAAACCAGAGTTTATTCGGCGTTGCGTTCCCAGATCGGTATTTCTGTTCCACCTCCGATACCTCCACCTTCGTTCGCCTTTAAAAATATTCGGGCCAAACTGATTCGCCCTTCTGCTAAAAAACCGTGAGCGATGGCAGAGTTTGGCATCCGTCCGGGGTGTCTCAGTTATCACATCTGGCGACAGCAGTTCACAGTCCTCGTGGAAGAAGGGACTAGAAAATATTCTCTAAACAAATGCTGGGTTATATAATCAGCATTGGGGTCGTGGCTCTCAGATGTGCGACTCACGGTCGAAACAATGGAACAAACATTAAGCAACGTCTCCATCACTTCGGCATCCCACAGGCTGCCCCATTACTTCTGCTTACTCTGGCGGGCAAGAAATGTTCCAATTTTTTATACGATCCGCGAAGTAACCGACGGGAAAAAGGGGTGACAATGCTCGCTCGAGAACTGGCGTTCTACAGCCTGCATTCGCTTCTCCCAAGGAGTTCAACTGGAGGAGTTGGGTGCCGGCTACGGCTAATTCGGAAGCGACGGCCAAAAGGTATTTTGAGAGGACTGCCCTGTCTTCCGCAGGTCGCCAATAATCATCCCCGACTCTTGCGCCTGCCCTCTTCGGGGAGCCAAATTCGCTGCCGCAATCTGCTCCCACTCTGCCGTATTGACCAAACCCGACGAGGTGTGGGTTTATGAAGACATGCACACCCTCCTGTTGTCTATGGCAGAGGCGGACAAACGAACTGTCCTTGGGGAGTTTAATGCTAACGCCGAAAGATTGCGGAGGATTGCTATATGCTCTTGACTTGGTGGCTGAAACGACAATGAACTCTTCCTTCAGCACACCTGCGCAAAACATATTCCCCTCCTCAAGAACATCTTTTTACGCCCTCCGACGCAAAATAGGGCTATTTGAATGCACCACGGAAGGCGGCGGTATCAGCCGCTGAAGTGTATTCTCACCCAAAGGCGTAATCACAGGAAATCTTGATGATTAAGGCCACCTGCGACGCCGATGTCTGGACCAACCACCGCCTTGCCAGCTCCACGATGAGACTCCGACTGCAGCCCCGCAGGAGACGACGAGGTAAGCAAGCACAATGTTAGTTAAGTGCAGTTCTGTCGAATTTGCCTGCTCACACTTTCGATTCAAGCGATCATCCGACCCACTGAGGGGCAGAACTTCATGCTCTGTCAGTAACGCCAACGTGGAGAAACGGTGATGAAACAAGCAGAGTGTCGTTCACGCCGCCACAGTGAACTCCTCGCTCCCGCAGCTCGTTAACACCAGGACTCGTTTGACAACAGCAGCAAGACAAGTACCAGGAACTAACACGCTGAAAGGAATAGACATCACAAAGCAAGCATTGAACACCAGACGGGCGCAAGCAAGACGGCCCTCTGCAAATGCCGTCGCCTGGTGCAGAAATGGATGCGGGAGATGCAGCCCTCCTGAAAGGATCGCGAAGCCGAGGAAATCCAAGGATATGCGAACCACGATAAAACAAAGAATTTCTTCGTATCACTGAGGGCGGTCTACAGTCGCAGAGACATAGTAACCATGCCGTTTCTCGGCTCCGACGGAGCAAAATCCTCGGGGAGGAATGGTTAATATGTAGCTTTGCGACCAAAACTTCAGAACCGTCCTCAAACGCTCATCCACATTCTCGGATGCCGGCATCGATGGGCTCCTCAGGGGGAAACGACCAACAGCTGTAAAATCTCACCTT